GCTGCTATCATATCCCCCCTCACTCTTCGCTTCTCCAGACTAAACAGACCCAACTCCCTCAGCCTCTCCTCATAGGTCATAAAGAGCCTCCGGAAAAGGGCACTTTTTCCGGAGGATCGGGGCCAGTCTAGACGCTCTTTTCCGGCTTTTTTAAAAGCCGGAAAAAAGCGGCGGACATTTTTATTTAAATGCCGCGGGGGATATTTAAATCCCCCGCGGATTTCCCTACGACGACTAGTGAAATTTACATGCCCCTTCCGGAAGAGGGGCCAGTGTAGACGTAGCCAATGTGAATGACATCTGCATTGTCTTTTAAATATTGGTAAATAGGACCAACAGAAGCTATTATAGGCTCCTCTGTACACATTTTAAGCCACTGCAGGAATTAACGCTTTGGAATCAAATAGCAAACACCACAACAAAATTAAAAGAAAAACAATATTTAACCTATCTAAGGCAGTTTCCATATCTTTGACCATAAATGCCTAGGAGTGATCCAATTAGTATGGGAGTTGTCCCATTTCAACTTTCTTCCAGATTAAAGGGTTAGAGATGTTGTGAGATCTATTTGGCTGAACACACGCTAATGCTCTGTAATTACAAACCGCCAGAGTATTCTGCTCCTCCTTGAAGAAGGCTCCACTGGATTCTTGCAGAAACTCAAAAATGTCCTGTTTCCCTGCTTTATAGCTTCCCCTCTGAGAATCTTTTTGCCAGCTGCCAACCCATCTTTTGGAGCCTAGCAGAGCCAGTATTCAGTCAGTTAGATGAATTGCTGCTGACAAAAAGCAATCTCTCCCAACAGGTACTAAGCTTTGTGGTAGCATAGGCGGTAAAAGGTAATTCTATATTTTTTTAACCTGGTGTTTGATAGTTCCTGCCACAAAGAGAAACAGAATTATGTGTAGTAGTGTGACCAAATGCTGCTCTGACATAGTACAGAATTACCCTTGCTAGGCTGTATTAATAATAAATATGACAGGCATAGGAAGACTAGCTCTATGAATAAAGGTGAATTTTTAAAAACATTTTTGAGCATTCAAAAAATCTGCTAGGGTTAACTATTTGTTCTTGAAATATGATGAATATAACTCTGTGAATCTCTGCTTGTACTAAATGCATTCAGTGTTGGTCACCCAACGCCATGATGTAACTGGAGGGAGTTCGGAGGAGAACAAAATGATTAAGCGGATGGAAGGTCTAATTACAAAGAAAGATTAAAAGAGAGAAATATGCACAGCATGTCTGAGTGACAGCTAAGGATGGTCACACATGATGATGATCCACAACTCTCTGAAGGGTTTTAATACCAATGGGAGAGAAAAATAACTCTAGAGTAGTCAAAGGAGGTTTAATAAGCTGTAATTTCATGTTATTAACAATATAAAAAAGTTGTAGTCTGAGATTCATCCTAACAATGAGATCTATTGTTTTCTTTATATGTAGCTCCTAGAGATGGACCAGAGAACCTCATTGTGCTAGGTGTTGTACAAACTGGGACAAAAAGATAGCTCCTGTTTTGCTTGGCACTTCTAAAACTAGATTGGACAAATTATCTGTAAAGCACAAAATGAAACAATCTTACATTGTTATTGGATAACTTAACTGGTCTTTGATTTTTGTGATTTACTGAATGAAAGGCCTACTCATCACTACCTCCTTTGTAGCCTCAACTTGAACATCCATTTAGAATTGTATCAGTAACTCTTTTATTTTGAACTCAGTTATTAATACTTGTAACTATTTTTTTTAATTGTATTAGCCTTACCACTCGTCTGCCAAAACCTGGAGAAACTATCCATGGACATAAGTTTTTCATTGGTTTCGGGGGGAAAGGAGCCAATCAGTGCATCCAGGCTGCTCGACTTGGGGCCAAGACTTTGATGGTTTGTAAGGTAAGCAATGAACTGAAGCTCCTGAATAACAAGCAACCCAAATGATCACCTAAATTCCAGTGAAACTCTTATGTGGTTCATAGAAAAGTTAACTGTCTTTTTAATGCATCTCTTTTCCTCCTGGTTTTGACTAGAAAATGATTAACAAAGTGCTGCCATGGAAACAGTTTTTATAGTATTTACAAGACAGACAGAGCAAAGAGTTGGTTACTGGTCTGGTGCAAATTGTATGTAAAGAGAGACTACAAAGTATATTTTCACCTGGAGACTAGCGAGAACTTGAGATATTCAGAATTACAATGACTGAAAACTTGACCAGTTCCTCTTTTTACCTTGTCCTGTATTATAAGAACAAGGGGTCAGTTAATGATCTTTTTGGTTTTGCATTCACCTGCCATGATGTACTTCTGTATATAATAACGTAGCCTGCAATTCACTGCCAAGTGCCATAAGTGTTCACAGATCAAATACTGATAGTCTACAATTTTGGAAGGGAAATTAAATCTCTTTCTTCATGGTTTAAGCCAAAAGTTATTAGGATAAGATCTTTCCAGGGAGAGGGGAAGCACAGATTATCCTACATGCGCCTACTGTGGAATATGGATGTTAAATTTCGATTAATTAGCTAATCAAGTCTCTGATGTTCATTGACTACTTGATTAGTCGATAAGAGGGGTGGGGCACTCGCTATCCCATCCCATGGCTCTTACTACATTTAAAAGGCAGAGGTGCAGAAGGGACCCCGGGGTGAGCAGGGACTCAAGCATTCCCTACTCGTGCTGGGTTCGACTGCCGCGCCCCTGCTGCTTGATGTTAATCGAAATCTAACATCCCTATTCCACAGGTTTCTCTTTTACATTTAAAAGGCAGAGGAACAGCAGTCAGGACTCTGCTCTCTCCCCTCCCCCCCCCCACCACACAGAGCAAGGGGGGGAAGCAACTAGTCAAGTAGTTACTCGACTACCTGATAAACCTAGGCTTACATACCTGATAAACTTAGTCGCTTACATACCTGCTGTGGAATTTCCTACATCTTCCTTAAAAGCAGGGGCTCTCAACCTTTCCAGACTATGATATCCTTTGCAGGAGTCTGATTTGTCTTGCATACTCTAAAGTTTGACCTCACCTAAAAGGTAATAACAAAAAAACCCTTAAAAAACAACAAATAGACTAGCAGCACCTTAAATACTAACAAAACATGTAGGGGGTATCATGAGCTTTTGTGGGCACAACGCACTTCTTTGGATGACTGAGTATTAGAAGTGACCCACTTCTAAAAAGTAATGGATTACAAAATTAGACATAAAAATACAAAGGTGTCACAGCCCACTGTTTTGAAAAATGGTTTCCTTTTTCATTTTACCATATAATTATAAATAATCTAGAATGTAAATATTATACTTACATTTCAGTGTGTAGTAGATAGAGCAGTATAAACAAGTTATTGCCTGCATGACATTTAGTTTGTAGTAGGCCAGTCAATTAACTCACACAATTGCCTAAAAAATTGAGATTAAAAAAATTACATCTAATCACAGTTTTAATTGCATTGTTAAACAATAGAATACAATTTATTAAAATTTATATTTCAAAAATACTGATTTCAATTACAACACACAATGCAAAGTATATAGTGCTCACTTTATATATTTTATTACAAATATTTGCACTGTAAAAATGGTAAACAAAAGTGTGTTTTTAAAATTCACCTCCTAAATACTGTAGTGCAATTTCTTCTGTTAAAGTTTAATTAAAAACTATATTTGTGTTACAATTACTGCACTTCAGAACAAAACAATGCAAAATTTTAGACACCTACAAGTTAATTCAGTCCTACTTCTTGTCCAGCCAATCATGAAGGGAAACAAGTTGTTTACATTTACAGAAGTTATTGCTGCCCACTTCTTATTTCTAGTATCACCAGAAAGTGAGAAGAAATGGGACTTTTGTAGCCAACATTGCAAGGTATTTGCATGTCAGATAGTCTAACATTCATATCTGCCTTCATGCTTTTACCACAATTCCAGAGGACATTTCCATGCCGATGATGCTCATTAAAAAAAAAAAGGTGTTAAATTTGTGACTGAACTACTTGTGGAAGAATTGTATTTCTCCAGCTCTGTTTTACTCACATTCTGCCATTTATTTCATTTTATAGTCTCAGCATATGTTAGTTTTAAGAACACTTTCACTGCAGATTTGACAAAACACAAAAGAATGTACCAATGTAACATCTCTAAAGATAGCTTTAGCATTCAACCTAAGGTTTTAAAAATCTGAAGTTCCTTCTAAAATTTGAGAGGGACAAAGTCTTAAAAGAACAACACTCTGATAGAAATTACAGAATGCGAAACCTCAAAAAAAGAAACTCAGTCTTCTGCAGGTGGCATTTGACTCAGATGATGAAAATGAATATGCATAGGTCTGCTCTGCTTTGAATTGTTATTGAGCAAAATATTTCATCAGCATGGATGTTTGTCTTCTGGAATGGTGGTTGAAGCATGAAGGGACATCTGGCATGTAAATATCTTGTGACACTGGTTACAACAGTGCCAAATGAATGCCTTTTCTTACTTTCATGTGGCATTGTAAACAACAAGCAGACAGCTTTATCTCCTGAAAATGTAAACAAATTTGTTTATATGAGTGATTGGCAGAACAAGAAATAGGACTGAGTGGACTTATGGGTGCTCAAATTTTATATTGTTTTATTTTTTAATGTGGTTTTGTGCTAATTGTACATTTTTAAATTCAACTTTCACAATAAAGAGATTGCACTATAGTTCTTGTATTAGGAGAATTTAAAACATGTATTTTCTTTTACAATACAAATATTTGTAATCAAAAACATAAAGTGAGTACTCTATGTTATGTATTACGTTTAATACAAAATATTTTAAATTCTATTTTTCTTAATCATTAATCATGATTAATGTTTTAATTGACAGCCCCTACTTTGTAGTGACTTTGTTAGTGCTTTTTATATAAGTAAAAATCTTAAATGAACTCAGCTCTATCATGGAATCTCTATGGATAGTAATTCCATGCTTGAATAATAAGAATATGGTAGTGGGGATATACTTCTGACCACCTAACCAAGATGGTGATAGAGGATGTGAACTGCTCCAGAAGATTAGAGAGGATATAAAACTAAAGAAAAAAATGTAGGGGGGCGTTCAACTATCTCCATATTGACTGGGTACATGTCACCTCAGGATGGAATACCAAGACAAAGTTTTTTGACACTTCTTGAAGCAGGCCTGGAACCCTCAAGGGGAGAGGCAGTTCTTGATTTAGTCCTAAGTTAAGCACAGAGTCTGGTGCAAGAGGTCAATATAGCTGAACCACCTGGTAAAACTTTAAAACCCCACAGTAGCCCAACTTGGTAGCATTTACTTTCAGAAAGGGGAACTACACAAAAATGAGGAAGTTAAACAGAAGTTAAAAGATACAGTGTCAAAAGTGAAATCCCTGTAAGCTGCATGGAAACTTTTTAAAGACACTGTTATAGTGGCTCAATGTAAATTTATCTTTCAAACTAAAAAACATAGAGAGCGAAAAAAGTGCCACTGTGGCTAAACAACAAGTAAAAGAAGTAGCGAGAGGCAAAAAGACATCCTTTAAAAAATGGAAGTTAAATCCTATTGTGAAAAATAAAAAAGATCATAAACTCCTGGCAAATGAAATGTAAAACTATAATTAGGAACACCATACAAAGAATTTGAAAAATAGCTAGTCAAAGATTCAAAAAATAACAGCATTTTTTTAAAGTACATCAGAAGCAGGAATTCTACTAAACAGCTAGCAGAACCACTGGACAATTTAGATGCTACTGGAGCACTCAAAAGACTATAAAACCATTGTGGAGAAACTAAATGAATTCTTTGCACTGGTCTTCACAGCTGAAGAGCTGAGGGAGATTCCTAAACCTGAGTCATTCTCTTTAGGTTAGAAATCTGAGGAACTGTCCCAGATTGAGTTGTCATTTAGAAGAGGTTTTAGAACAAATTGATAAATTAAACAGCAATCAGTCACCAGGACCATATGATACTCACACAAAAGTTCTGAAAGAACTCAAATGTAGAATTGAAGAACTACTAACTATGGTATGTGACCTATCATTTAAATCTTCTGTACCAAATGACAGGAAGGAGAGCCAAATTTTTCAAAAGACTCCAGAAGTGATCCCAGCAATTACTGGTCAGCCAGCCTAATTTCAATAGTGGGCAAACTGATTGAAACTATAGTAAAGAACAGAACTGTCAGACATCTGGATGAACATGATTTGTTGGGGAAGAATCAACATGGATTTTGTGATTGCATCACCAGGCAACTAGAATCCTTTGAAAGGATCAACAAGCATGCGGACAATGAGATCCAGTGAATATACAGTACTTAGATTTTCAGAAAGCCATTGACAAGGTCCCTCACCAGAGAGTCTTATGCAAAGTAAGCTGTCATGGACTGGTAACTGATTAGAAGATAAGAAACAAAGAATAGAAATAAATGATCAGTTCTCAGAATGGATAGTGGTGTCTCCAGAAGTCTGTATTGAGATCAGTACTATTCAACATACTAATAAATGATCTAGAAAACCATGAGGTGGCAAAATTGACAGATAATACAAAACTATTCAAGATAGTCAAGTCCAAAGCAAACTGTGAGGTCCCTTTGTAACTCTTCAAACCGCTGGGTGACTGGGCAACAAATGACAGATGAAAATCAATGTTGATAAATGCAAAGTAAGGCATATTAGAAAACAATCCCAAATATGCTTATAAAATGATGGGGCCTAAATTAGCTATTACGAATCAAGAAAGAGATGTTGGAGTCATTGTGGAGAGTTTTCTGAAAACATCCACTCAATGTGCAGCAGCAGCCAAAAACAGGTAGCAGAATGTTGGGAATCATTAGAAAAGGGATAGATAACAAGACAGGAAATATATTGCCTTTATATATATTGATGTTACACTGACATCTTGAATACTGCATGCTGATGT